GGAGACAGCTTTTAGAGAAACACACACAAAAGGGGAATAAATACCATATAGTTTAACCTGTGAAACTGCTGGCAAATCTTTATTTAAATCAATCAAGGTATTGGATAACAAAATTTTACTGTAATACAAAAGAGAACAGAGAAATTCACGGAGCACTTAAAATCACATTAGGCTTCAAGATGCTGTAAAGTGCAAACAGTTGGAGACACCAAGTATCACACATCCTTGTCCTGTTCTTACACCTTTCCTTAGGTATCCTTTTCAGTCAGACAAAGAACACTTTTTTGTGTGTGTGTTACAAAAATCTGGTCAAATATTTTTATCTGGCTAATATTCTTTCAGTTATTCACAAATTAGTAACGGAATGAAGTGACCTATAATTTTTCTAGGGTAACCATGTACTAAATATTTTTAAAATGGGATCACACCTCTCAGGAAAAGTCTTTGTACTTCTCTGATGCTACTACACGCCTAAGAGAAAAGCTCCGTAATAGGATGACTATGAACTTGTTTTATTTCTAAAAAAATTTAAACTTCAAAATGATATTTATTTACATTAAGGTTATAAAAACATATCATTTAAAATTCATTTTCATGTGACAACCCACTGTGAAGCTGGGAAGAACATCCACCCAGTAGTACTGGGCAAAGCACTAAGCTGCGCTGGCAGCTGGACATGCTGCAACCAGGTTAAGTACTGAAGAAGCATCTCTATTTCACTCCTATGGGTAGTTCATTCAACTCAGTAAGAGAGGTGGATTATCCTTTTTTTTACACTGCTTTCTACTCTACAGTAAATAGTGTAAGAAGTAAAAAATATTTTCAACCTTGCTGCAAAGTCTCACACACACACACTAGACATCTCTGTCTAAGAAACGTATTAAAAGAACTATATTCTGAATCAACCTTTTCTCTACAGTTACAAAACCCACAGAATCATAGAATGGTTTGGGTTGGAAGGGACTCAAACCCCCCGTTGTGGACAGAGACACCTTTGACTAGACCAGGTTGCTCAGAGTTCCATCCAACCTCACATTAAATACTTCCAGGGATGGGGCATACACAGCTTCTCTGGGCAACCTTTTCCAGTGTCTCATCACTCTCACAGTAGAGAATGTCTTCTTAACCTCTAATCAAAACCTGCTCTCTCTCTCAGTTTGAAGCTGCTGCTCCCCGTCCTATCACTACATGCTCTTGTTAAAACTTTCATCTTTCTTGTTGGCTCTCTGCAGGTATTGGAAGGCAACAATTAGGTCACCCAAAGCCTTCTCTTCTCCAGGCTGTACAAATCCAATTCTCTCAGCCTTTCCTCATAGCAGAGGTGCTCCATCCCTCTAATCATCTTAGCGTTCCTCCTCTGGACTCAATCCAAAAGGTATATGTCCTTTCTGAGCTGGATGCAGCACTCACCAGAGTGGAGTAGAGGGGCAGAATCACCTCCCTCACCCTGCTGAGGCCACACTGCTTTTGATGCAGCTGCCTGGGCTGTGGGCACACAGTGCTGGCTCATGTCCAGCCTCTCATCAACCAGCACCCCCAAGGCCTTCTCAGCAGGGCTGCTCTCAATCTGTCCATCCCCCAGCCGGGATTGATACCGGGGTCTGCCTCAAACCAGGAGCAGCACCTTGTGCTTGGTCTTATTAAACCTCATGAGATTCCCATGGGCCCACTTCTTGAGCTTGTCCAGATCCCTCTGGATGACACCTTCAGGTGTGGCAACTGCATCACTCAAGCCCGGTGTCATCTGCAAATCTGCTAAAGGTTTCTTATCTTCCCCACCGTCTGTGTCATTAATGAAGATATTACATAACACTGGTCGCAAGTAAGGACCCCTGAGGGGCACCACTTGTCACTGATGTCAGTCAGGATGTTAAGTAGCATTTTAATTTCCATTCCAGTAATGTGAACACATCCAAAAATTACCCAGTGGGTCAGAAATTTATCATTTGCTGTTCTCTAACATAGAAATTGTGTTTATAAGCCTGAAAAATGCAACAATTGCTAAGAAAATGTTATTTTTATTAATGTAGAGACCAGATGAGAGACCATTTCTGGGTAAAAGAGGAAACTGTCATTACACTAACTGGTATAGTTTGAAACAATAAAGAGAATTTCAAGACCAGAGTCTTTCTCTGGACCTGAAATAAAAACAGCAGCTTTCTCAGCTAACCACAATACCCTGCATGTAGAAGCACATGGAAAGTACTGAAGCCTGCAATACCAGAGTATGCTTATCTGTAAAGCCAGCCAGCTTTGTCATCCCCCAAAAACATCTGCTTACCCGGAAGAAGAGTTGGAGCACAGAATATCTTTCCTAATTTTTTGAAATAAATCCATTTTTCCCATGAAAGATATTACATCTATCTACTAGGTTTGGTCTGAACAACTCTCTCATTTCTATTAGCAAATGAAACCCAAAATTTAACCTCCCTGCTTCTCAACTGCCTTTTGTGAAAGGACTAGTGTCAAAAGGCAGTTCTTCAGTAACCCACCATGACCTGTGCAAGAATTTGCCATAAGGAAGCTTAACAGAACCTCTGCTTGGATTTCTGTTTGTGGTGCAAGGCACTGTGCTACTTGGCAAGAGCTAAAATCATCCTGATGTTGTACTGTTCTCAGGAGCAGTCACAAACCACTGCTGCAGAAGCCAAATGCTCCTGGATTAATTTCTACCAAAATATGATGTGGCCATACCTACTACTTTTAAGGAGCAGAGAGTGGTAATAAAAACACACACCACAAAGTATGCAAAACAGTAGCAATATGTAAGCTTGGAATCATAGTGACTTTCCATCAGAAGAGTTAAAAAGCCTTTAACTGAGTTTCAAAGCAGATCTAGGGTTTTATCTGCCTGATTAAGTAAGGCTTTTTAACAAGTAAAGCTGTAATTAGGCATAATGATAGTGGAACAAGCAAAGTTAGAATAATGCATATTAATTCTAACTTAGGAAGAGATCCACTTTTAACAGCATTTCATGCTCTTCCTATTCAGAGAGGGTTATTTCCTCTTCAAGGTGCTGGAGCTGTGCTGGAAATTTCCCACAGCACCTGTACCAGCACAAGAATTCCTTGCTAGGAAGACAGCCACAAGTACCATGCTGGCTCAGACTGTGCCCAGGTTTCAGGAGCACCAGTTTTTAGAATTTCTGGAACATTCAGGAGGTTTCATTCCAAGAGGTTCATAAGAATTCAATCCCATGTGGTATTATGCCAAGAGGCTGCAACAGAGAGTTACGATTTTGTTTCTTTTGAACTGCTCAGCTCTTACCAAAACGTAGTGCAAATGACTTATTTAAGGCTTCTTTGAACTTCAGTCAACACATTTCTCTATAATATGGAAGCAAGTCACATGAGTAAGAGTTCACAACAAATCTTTGTTGAAATCAAGACAGGAGATGGTATTGAAAAGGTTGGGCTTAACTATACCAATCTTAATCTGACTTTTACATGACATTTCAACTGTACAGGATTAGAAAACTCCCAGCAAACACGGTACATAACTAAATCAAGAGCCCAACACTGATTTTAGGCAGTATTAAAAAATCCCGCACAAAGATTAGTTACATGCCTTACAAACTTGTGCTAATCCTCAAAGAAAGGCTGACAGGGTCTAAAGAAGAATACAAAATTACACTGGATACTGATGCGTCCAGTAACAACAATGAAAAATAATCTCTATAACTCCCACTCAAACAGGAAAACCCAACACAAAACCCATCTGCTAGTTCAAAAAGCATTTTTTAATATCTTAACAGCATTCTGTAAAAAGAACAGAATTACTGTGTCTTTTGTATGATTCCTATTCTTCAATGAACACAAAGTTTCTTCACTGTTTTTTGGTTATTCCCTTTCAGCTAATAGCAGGTATGATAAATAACACTGGGGAAAAAAAAAAATCACTGCTGTAGATCCACAACAGAAGACAATTACAGTAAGACAGTGTACCTGTAACTCCCTTAACATAAAGTGTAAAGAACATGGATCATCATGAAAAGTTGTTTTTCACATACTTGAGTTGCAGAATCAAAATTCAGTGTTTTCTAAATATTTCTTATACTAAATTCAAGAGCACAGAGTCAGGTACAAATCAACTCATGGAAAATGATCCACAGAACATCCAGAGTCCAAAGGATTAAATCAGCCACAACAAAAGAAAATCCAACCCAACAACAACAACAGCAGGGCAAAGACAATAGTGGCATTGACTACTTGAGTAGAACAGAAATGCTCTGCCACCGCAATTCCCTCTTCAGCAGAAGACATGAATTCATTATCCAAAATTTGGGTTTTTTTTTTTCTACTATTTACAATCCTTCCCCGAGTTCCTCTTCTAAATTATCTCACAAGATCTCAGCCCCTGTCCTATAAGCTCCCTGTAATTCCAACCCTGTGTAACAGCACACCAGCAAATCTTTTTCCCTTCACAGATTCTGCTTCCAGAATCCCTTCCATTCAAATCCACTTCCTTTGATTGCTATCCTTTTACCTGAAACAGCTTTCATCTATTCCCTATCTCTCTGAGAAAGCTTTCACCATACCTATTCAGCTGGCAAACTTTTTTTTTCTCCACAAATCACCCTTATATGGATTTGCATCTTTACTGGATTCCAAATATGTTTTATACTAGAGAAGCAAAAATATCTGAAAGGTGTTGCAAATGCTAACTGTCTGTATATGTAACATCAGAACATTATGTGGGGTGATAGCGAAACACAGTTATGTAATGCAGACTTATCCAGTAGGTTAAGGAAAACTCTGGAAAAACGTTACATCACTGTAGGCTATTTAACACTCATCCTCTAGGAACCCCAAACAAAACGGAACATTTTTTTTCCTCTACTGAAGAATATTTTTCCTTTTACCAACCTAAAATTATTCTAGACGAGAAAAATCCCCCCTGCCTCTCAACTTCAGGGCTTACAGGAACAACCTGGCGTGTTGTTCTCCACCACCTTTAGCAGAGAAAAGCATTTGATGGACACTGAAATAGTTTAACTCACCAATAAATGGAATAGAAGCCAAAGAGTCACCAGGTGGGCTGGAACCCGATGCTTTCCTTTCCTCTATTCTTTTTATGTGGACTTCTCTCCGAGCATCGTTAGGTAACCAACAGGTAGTGTCCGAGGCTGCCTCTTGGTCATTTACAGCAAGAATGTAGGACTGATGCCTCAAAGGCTGTGGAGTTTGGTGGCCAGAAGGTGATTTGTCCCGCATGACCACTGTGTCTTTGTCATTTCCCTGAACATCCCTTTGCAGACTTTCAGACTCACGGACATCTTCCCTTTCAAAACCATGAATCTTTTGTCTTACAGAACCATCTACATTGTCAGAGGTAGTTGAACACTCACTTGGTTGAACAAGTTTGGCAGAAGCTGGAGACAGAGAGGAGGGTTGGATGGTTTTACCAGTTTCTGTTTTGTGATCTGGGGCACCTTCTGCTCGGATCCTTGACTGTTGGTTTAACATACCGCTCTGATGCAAGTGATTTACTGTTCTTTGGTCTTTGCTGGCAATAGCATCCAGACCCTGGTTAAGGGGAATAGATGATTTTGCTGCATAGGGAGCTGAGTTCTTCAGAGAGCTACTTCTAGAACTTCTGGCTGGTGTGAGACACAATCTCTCTTGTGAAACAGCTGCAGGTTTTGAAACTCCTCCAGGAGTTTGCAAATCTCGAGAAGGCTGTAACATTTTAAAATCTGGTGAAATTTTCTGAAAGTGAGAACCGGGCAGAGAAGCTCTACTACCAGTTCTCCTACTGTCTGAAATATAAGCATTTGGAGCTATAGGAAAATTTTGACCTCGAAGGGACATATGAAATGCATGCTGTCTTGATCTCTCATAAATACCTCGCCGATCATCTTGTTCAGTAAACCCTGTCCACTTGTAAGTCTTTCTCCTATCTCCATTTGTATCTGCAATCATATTCTCAGAATGAAAGTTTTCTAGCACTTCACCCTGTTTGCTGAGATAATCCCATGACCGAGCCCTGTGATTTCTAGCATTAACTGAAGGTGAAGTTAGAGTATCTTGTGAAGCACTTCGTGGCCACTCTTTCATCAACACAGGATCTTCAAGTCTTTCCTGGGATACACTTCTCTGCCGGATCTGAACAGACTGGGGAACCCTGTCGTGAGAGGTGCTCCTGCGCCGTACCTGAGAAGCAGTGCGGTTTGGCACCACTTGATTATAATCAGTTGTACTCTGAGAAGCTGCTCTTAAGCTGTCTAACCTCTCCTGTATTGTTCGGGAGCCGTACATGTGCATGCGCCTGTTATCAATGTACTCTTTGTAAGTTTTGTAGGTCTTCCAGTCTATGTGCTGGTGGGAGGATGGAGAACTGTAATGATTAGTAGAGACTGAGGGTGAGTCCGTGGCTTGAGTAGAAGGTCTAGTGCTTGGGATTCCTTCTGGACATACTACATAATTTGAAGCTTTACTTACTGCTCCAGTTGTATCAACTGGCCTTGTTATTGGAGTCTGGGGAAGTACAATGGCAGTGGACACTGAAGATGGTGGTGATGTGGTCCGTGCTTTCAGACTGGTTTGATCTTTTAAGCCGTATCTTACTTCCTCTGTCCTGTGTGAGGGACCAGCGTGATTATTTCTGCAAGATGGCAAATCTACAGCCTTCTCAGAAGGCACAATAACAGTCCTTACAGTTTCATTGCAAACGCACACGGCTGTATTTGATTTTGCAATGTCTGTTGGTGACGGAGGCACTTGTATTTCCATTCTGTAGGCCCTCTCTGGCTGTGTCAATGCCCGTACTGGTCTGCTGACTTGCTGCTTCCCCAGCGAGAAGTCAGAAGAAAGCTTGTCTGCAGCTTGTGCTTTAACAGAAGCTGTGGATGTCAGACGCGGGTAACATATTGGCGGTGGTTCAGGTATGTTGTGGGCATTACCACTGTAGGCTTCGTTGCCTTTCAGGTAGGCATCTTGGGAATACGCCTGTGGAGAGAGGATTAAGTGAGTATTCAGTGGGGAGGGAGATGGAAAAGTTAGCCATCCAGTATTTGCATGATCAAGCTTCAAGAGAGGAAACACAAGTTCAAAACTGACACCGTCTCTAATTTTAGACTAAATGTTAGTTAAAAAGATAAAAACAGCATTCCATTCCCTTACTGATGGGGGAACAAGACACAGAACAAGCAAAATCATTACATACACTCCCTCCCTCAATTAAAAAACGCAACTGATGACCAATTCCAGGAAATACTGCAGGTAGGGCACTGAGACAGGTTTCTCAAAATCCATGAACACAAAGCACAGTATTTTTCTCCCCCTTAATTTTGCTTTCTAACGTGATGCTTCATACATTCTTCCCATTTAAGCTTCACATTGCTGGAAACCAGAATTTCACAGCAATCAATAGGTTAAAATGCTGCATAATAAATTCAACCAGCACTAGAAAATTCTCTATTCACTTTGTGTATAAAACAATTCTGTTCATTTCATGTAGTACATATGAAAAGTACACACACTTCTCTAAGATGTCTTCTACATAAAAGCTACTGTTCCTAAACATATAATGAATAAATTTTAAAGCAGTAACATATTTGTTGTGAGCCAACACCCTCTAAGTCATCTTACATTTTAAAGGAGGCAGCAAGTACATGGTACACAAACCTTACCGCAAAAATATTAAATGACATTTAACATTTTTAACTTCAAGGAACAAACAGTAAGAAAATTCATACATATCCACTACTGTCCACACACCATTGAAACACAAACTGAAATTTCAAATTAATTTCCTTAGAGCACTTTGCACCTTTATGCAGAAGAGCCTGACTCCTGAGAAAAAATGGTTATATTACACATAGTATGTTTCTGCAGCATTTTAGAAAAGCAGCCTTTGTCACTGTGAAATTAACAGAACATCCAAAATAATAATAAATTAATGAGAAGCATATGGCATACTTAAACAATATCCTATTATTGAAAAACTTTAGCATGACTTCTCTCAGTTTGAACATAATGCAATAAAGAGCCAATGCAGAGCCTGCCAGCATAACAGAAGATTAAAATAATTTCTCAGGGCTTTTACACGCTTAGGCGCGGTATCATAACACAGCATTTCCTGTCCAAATCATAACACGCTCAATTCCAGAATATCAATGTGCTCTGTCTTAACACGAGACAGATTATAAAAGCCCAAGAGCAGCCATAAAATTAATACAGAGCAAAGTACAGAGGAGGGCGAGGCATTTACAATACTGCTGCAACGTTACAACGAGCATTAGTGAAATGCAAAACAGTAAAGCACACCGAGAGAAAAACAGACCAAATATCGCAGGCACAAACCACAAATCAAAATATTAGCATTACGAAGAAAATTCAGTTCAGATTATCTAGCTCTATCTAGCTCATTTCCAACAAACTTGCTGTTTCATGTTCTTGCTTCTCACAAATCATTCAGCAAAACATGCTTAACAAAACCATGAGAGAAATGGCTACTGTACATTTCTTACCAGTGCTGTGACATCCTTTGTAAACTGCAGCTGGCAGAAAACAGGAAAACACAGTAAAAGCTGCTTATAGATGTAAAGGCAGAATTATCTTGTCATATTGATGTTGACTACAGCAAGCTAAAAATACAACTATACTGATTTCACTGGAAGGTACCAACAGATGCAAAGGGCAGCAGAGCATAAAAAATAACTTCACCCTCCTTGCAAGCATGTCCACTCAGCCTTTTATTTGCTCCTTGCATTTATCCTGTACCTTTACAGAAAGCAAAATACATTTGTGCCATTTTGCCTTGGTGCATCCCTACAGCTGCCTGCAGAGAGCTCTGGCTCTATGCAACGAGACTTCCCTTCCACTACAGCAACATTACTGTCTCTCGTTTCCCCTGGGCTGCTCCCATCCCTGCTTCCTGGTGACGAAACAACGGCTTTATTATGCACTTAAAACAGCACGCCCCTTCCCCACATATATCTGAACATGACCACAAGCTGTCAGCTGACTGCAGCTGCTTTCACGCTGTACATCTGAAATTAGAGGAATGATGCTGCAGAAACACTCCACTCACATGATATTTCCTCCACTCATAGTAAAAATCAAGCCAAGCTTCCACTGGCACATTTAATGGAGGGAAGGAGCACACAAAGATAAATATTTCTAAATCTTTAAATAAATGGCTATTTAAGATCTTGATGGTCTGTCAGAATTAAAAGAAAAAAAAAATTGGAAGAGATACTGAAGACCCAGAAAACAGATTCAGATACTACTCACATGCAGGACAAACAAAAACAATCACCCCCTCCACCAGAAAACAATTATCAATTTATACAGCTCATAAAAAGGCTGATATCCCACCTTTACTAGGATATGCACACCAACAGCAAATACATCAAATTTGTGTTTTTGTAAAACATTCCCCTGACAAACAATGCTTCATTTGACTTTCACAGCAGAAAGGCTAGATTCCGAAATTGGCATGATCTGATCGTAGCTGAAGACTACAGATGAGTACAAATATTAGTTCTCAGCTCTTGACAAAATTTATCACAGATATTAAAACATCACCTTCAGAAGACAACATTCTCACAGAGTCCAAAATGAGATCAGCTTGACTTTCTCTCCCCAATAAAGAGTATATTACCATGACTGCAGGTATATCCAAACAGACTGACAGTTCTGTGTAAGAGTTACTGGAAAAAAGATTTTGATGATGGAAAGTGTATTTCTCCTTTCAGTTGCATTTCACCCACTTCCCAAGGAAACACTGAAACAAAGCTGAACATCCTTCCACAAAAAAAAGAAGTTTATAAATGGGACTGTGAATTTTCCACAAAGAATATTAAATATCTTGGTTTCATAATTCTGATTAGGGGTCGACAGAGAAATCATGCAACTCACAAAGAAATGCATAGTTCCATTCGGAATAACGTTATGCTGTATTATGCATTATCAGCATATATTCCACTATGAAATATTTTAATTACTTTAAGCAGAAAGTGATGGTTTTTAGACATTTAAAGGCTATATATATATAATGGCCAGTCTTCGCGAACAAAGAACCAGGGAAGGTCTTTCCACCTTCCAGCCTGCGCATTGGATTTTTTTTAGGTGAGACACAGTGTGCGCGGAACTGAGCCCACCCTTTAATCCTGAGGTTCATCTGCCGGGGCCAAGCGAGCTTGGACGGTGGCAGCGAGGTCCTCAGGACGTAGATGGATTGCCTTACAGGGCTAACGAGCTCCATCTGCCCGGGGAGGGGCCCCGACCAGGAATCGAACCCGGGTCTCTGCGGTGACAGCGCAGCGCCTTTAAGGTTAAAGAATGTGAAATGCATCAATACATTTAATCGTTCATACACTGTTTTGACAGTTTGCAGCTATAAAACACAGCTTGAATATTACTCTATTCTCCCCTTAGGTTCTCAAATCATAGAATCAGATGGGTTGGAAAGGAGCTCTGAGATCATTAAGTCCAAACCTGGATCCACTACCACCACAGTTACTAGACTATGGCACTCAGTGCCACATCCAGTCTCTTCTTAAAAACCTCCAGGGACAGAGAATCCACCACCTCCCTGGGCAGCTCATTGCAATGCCTGATTACCCTCTCTGTAAAGAATTTCTTCCTAACATCTAACCAAAACCTCCCCTGGCAGAGCTTAAGCCTGTGCCCTCTTGTCTTACCGACAGCTGCCTCGGAGAAAAGACCAACCCCCACCTGGTTACAACCTCCTCTCAGGTAGTTGTAGAGAGTGATGAGTTTCTCCTGAGCCTTCTCTTCTCCAGGCTAAACAATCCCAGCTCCCCCAGTCTCTCCTCATAGGTCTTGTGCTCAAGTCCCTTCACCAGCCTCATTGCTCTTCACAATGTCCTTCCTGAACTGAGGGGCCCAGAGCTGAACACAATACTCCACGTGTGGCCTCACCAGCGCTGAGTACAGGGGAAGGATCACTGCCCTTGTCCTGCTGCTCACACTGTTCCTGATACAGGCCACGATGCCGTTGGCCTTCTTGGTCACCTGGGCACACTGCTGGCTCATGTTCAGATATATCAAATATCAAAGGATATATTATGTGAAAATGCTACTCTTTAAGTGATTGCAACAAATTATATACTCATAAAAATGTCATTACAGTATGGCCTCAATTTAAGTCTTTTAAAAAGTCTTAAACCAAAAAAAAGCCTTGCAACTTAAAACTTTTTAATATCCAGATCAGTGATGTTCCTGAATCAGACACCAGCCAACCCACTTGAATTCCTACAGGAGCTGGATACTCAGCAGTTATTCAGAAGTCCCAAGAGGATTCAAAAGTCAGTCTTGATGTTTTATGAGCGCTTTTCCACCTTCTCAAAACAACAACAGTTATGGAAAGCTTACCATACAAATGCAACAATTTAGAGTGACATTAAAGGCTCTGATGGATAACAGCTCTGCAAAAATTACTAGAAGAAAACTGCTGTGCTTACAGTAAGAACTCAGCATGTTTCCAGCTATTGGGTACAATTTCTTCCCCATCTTGCAATCTGGTTTTGTTTGCACCAAGTTTGTAAGCTCCTATGGCAAAGAATTCATTTCATACTATGAATCTGTAGCCATTAAGGGTTTAACTCCTAAGGTAATACATTCATGTCATATTATAGGCAAAATAGATTTTAAGAAAATGAAGCATTTTACAAGGTATTTAATTAACCATCTAAAATTCACCTGGAGGGTTTGGATCCCATTTTCTCCCACTTGATTTTATGCCATTAGATGTCAGAATAATAAGAGCCAAATGTACAAGAACTTCTCTGGGTAAGAATTACAGTGAAACCTGCACCTTCCAGAGCTGGAACCAACTGTGTCCTACACCACTTAGTCCAAATCCATAAAAAAGACACAGTCCTATGTTTCACTGAGGATGAGTATGCTTCACTACAGGATGAATATGCTTCACTACAGGATGAATAACAACACTGATTTCATCAGAACTATTTGTAAAATTGGAGAGAAGCTTTTTGATGAGTAAGAAGCCAATGTGTACAGCACCTTGCAAGACTGAGCTTGAGGCATTCTTCTGTCCTTCTCCAACCAGTTTGGCTTCAGATTATATTTCTTTAATGCTAAATTCTTCTCTTTCCCAGTCCTAACTTATTCTCAGTTTGCATGAGTATGGGAATTGCACACCAGAAAAGTTTTACAGCTAGCTTAAAAGGAAACACTTCCTAGCTATAGTTTGTTCTGGCAAGAATGTTATTACTACAGCTCAAGTGCTTTCATTTTACTCAGACACACTCAAACACTACAGTCAGACAACATTATTTGAAAAAAACCGCACACACCCTTTCTTCCCAAAGGCAGTGCAATTTTAGTATATAAAATGTAATGATTTTAATGCTTTAAGCCCCAAAAGCATTATTTCCAAATACAAGAGATCTTCTTGTAAATATTAGTCTAAATTGAGGTTAGGAGGTTTGATGCAAATGGTGTTTTCTAACATATGCAATATTCAATAATAAAGTTTCAGTATCTTCTTCTAGGTTACTATGTTTTCACACATCCCTCCTCCTTCCATTTGTACTTGCTTCCAGAGCTTTAATATTAACCTCTGTGACCATCAGTAACTATGTCAGTACAAAATCTGAGAGTAAAAAATGCTCCAAGACTCTGGACTAAATACAGCTACTTAAGAATACATATCTATCTTTATTAAATATAAAGCAAATGAAAATATTTCACAGTTTGCCAATAAAACAGCCATGTTGCTGCTCTACTAGGTCCGATGCAAGTGGATGGCATAGAGAAAAAGGAAAAAAAAAATAAAGACAGTCTTTAACATTAAAGTTGACCTGTAGTCAGAGACATGAGGTTCCTGGAGCATATAAAACTCTAAAATAAATTTCCTCATGCACGTTACTTTTCTTTATGGTGTTGGGGTCTTTTTCGGTTTGGTTTTTTTTTCTTTTATTTTGTTCTCAATACAGGTGCACCACTGGCAATTTCAGGGGACTACAATGCCTAGAGAGCCACCAAATTCCACAAAAATACTGAGTTCAGAAATGATAATGCAGCAAACTCTTCTTTTCCACCCAGATCTCCCTATACACTGAAAAGTTCCATATCACCTGACTAGAAAGAAGTAGGGGGGGGAAAAAATATATATATGCTTCAGTTGACTTTCACTCACTTTCCTGGTCACTCCTATATAGGATTTTATGGTTTCCCTACCATCTATGAAAAGAGAAACATTTCTGTTCAAATGTGGTTAACTTTCAGTTATTGATATGTAGCTTCATGGGTCCATAATTTTACTGAAAGATTGGATTAACTAAATATATCAAAAACAAAATAGTAAACTGCCACCTTTTATTTTCATATTTACCATTATTCACAGAATGCCCAATAAAATCTTCTAGTAAATGAAAGAGTTCCTTCTGGAATGGCAAGGCACATTTCAACAGATTTGTACACTAATAAAATTTAATGATGACAACATCTAAGACTAGAAGTAACCTCCTACCTTTTGGGGCAACTCCTGTAAGGAAATGATTTTTTAGAACTGTTTTGAAATTAAACTGTTGAAGGCAGAATAGAAGTTAGGCATGATGGAACTTTTGAGTGGGTCATAAGAGAAGTGCCAGAAAACGAAAGATGAAAAAGCAGGGTAACTTGCCTATAGTACATATCTGTTTATACACACACACACAACATAGATATACATATTTACAAAATAATATCTACATAAATATATTTACCTAAATTAAACCCTATATAAGAACATTGATATGATACATTTCAAATAACCTTCCCAATGCAGATCATATTAGAGATGGCGTTTTCCAAAGAGTCATGTTTTCAAGTGCCTGATACATAGAAATTCAGCAGCTGGTAAGCTACATTCTTCTTTACATACACAAGGAACAATTAGCAAATAAGTAAATTCCAACATGAACATTCCCCGAAAAAAATGGTCCAAAAACCCTGCATACTAAGGACACCCTAACATACATATGTTAGACACTACAAAATCTGTTGATAAGATTCATAATACCTGTAAGTAGGCTTAGCAAACTCTATTTTCTCTCTCTAGAGAGCACCTTTACATTCAGTATTTTCAATGGAATACAAAATGCTTTTGAATAACTGAAAAGCTGTCACAATTTGAACAGCATTTTAGTATTAAACTTGTTATCTAAAGGCTACAAAACAGCAACAGTTTCATTGAATATACTTGAGAAAAAGGAACTATTTGTAGTTGACCTAAATGTGTCTTCCCATTTGCATGAAGTCAGTGGTAATGCCAAAATTCTGCCAAAAAAGGTTGAGAATGCTACAGAAATTGCACATAGATACATCAAATTCGAAACACTGAGGAGAACACAATACAAAAATAATCCTCCTCCTCCTCCTAGTTTCAAAACTGTTATATATCTAGAAATGTTTCAAAATTATCTCTTTTGGTAAGTTTAAGCAATCACATATTTGAGGAGGAGCATGAAAAAACCCCGAACACATACATAGTCATCAAGAGGTCAACTTTTTGTCATGGATAGAGATGTTTTAAATATCCTTTTCCCCATCCACAAAGTGGCATTTTCAAGATCACACCAGTGAACAAATGCGACTGACACTGATTTCACTAATGGCAGTTCCACATGTAATTCCCTTCCAAGTGAGTACTGTTCACATGCCACTGCCACAGGGCAGTAACCTGTGGATTGGACCACTTCATTGTTACTTCTGATGAATGGATTTGAAGCCCTGTTTTCAGGGAATTCAATATACCAAGAGGTTCACAGACATATATGGATATTTCTGAAGACTAAACTCGAGGTTTATAAATAGCGAACTAAGGATAGAAACGAGCAACTGTGTTTCGAGCAATCAGCCATCAGCACATGGAATAGATTGCAAAGTACTATAAAACTTACCACAACCAGCATTATTCCTGAATATAATGAAACTATTCCATCCTCATTGCACTAGATATACCTTTCATTAGCTCCTCCAATATCCACTAGTGTTTTGGGGTTTTCTATTTTTACAGCACACTAGTATTTAGCATCAGTTTAAAATGAGTAATGCTATCTGAAGATATTTACAGTGAAATTTATGACATATGCCACAGAAAACAACTAGATTATTTAACGTTCTCTAATAACTTATATTTAACAATCTATAACACATTTTTACATAACCCAGTTCCAGGTGTAAGTTTTTCCTCTATTAATAAGGCCACTGTACCTTACCATTTACCATTCACTTTGCACTTACAGTGACACTACCACTACAGACATAATTGTTATCCCTTACTTATATGAGTTCTACCTTTATTCACGAATAAGAATTTGCTCCAAAATTTATACTTTTTTTACATAAGATGTCCACAAAAGCCAATACAGCATTAATCACAAAGATAAAACCAGAAAATTTAAGAAGTGTGCAGTTTCTCAGCTGGAAATAAAAAATTATCTCTTTTCACAGGAAGTGAAAGGAGTAACATTCTATGCTGTTACACTGAAAGTGTTTTAAACATGTTCAGATTTGAGTAGAGCAAAGCTCTTCACCAAATCTTGTAATGAGAACTGTGCATCCTAACCCTCTCCAGGGGAACTGCATAGATTTTTCATTTTACTGAAGTTACAGTGATGCACTCACTTGAACAGTCTCAAAAGTCTGCTGATTTTTGTTTTAGAAGTGCTAAGATTTTTCCTCCTCTACGGTGGGCTAAAAGACAAAAAACCACAGGCCATAACTGACCGTCTCTGTTGTGAGATGTAATTAATTTTTATCAATCTTCATAAATTGCAACTCTGTTGGCAAAGATTGACACTTGAAAACATATCTACTAAAGTAGTCCACGGCAGGACAGAGTGAACAAACTGCAGCTATCCAAAGTCTTTTCCAATAGGCCCAAGTGCACTCAATGCTAGTCTTGACGACTACAGAAAACACCTCTCTCTTCTCGGCTTTCCTCTGGCAGATCCTACGTGGAACTGAAACTCGTCAAGAGAAGGTCACTTTTACCCAAGTAAATGCATCTTAGTAAACAGCAGCATAAACTCTCCTGTATCATGACCATGTACCAACTCACCCAAACAGCTGTCAGAAGGAACTCATGGAAGCTACAGAGGCAACACAAAGCATTTTCTGCAAAATCATTACTTGATCTCTCAAATCTAATCCCCTTTCTATCTTCAACAGAGGAGCCTCACACACAAAATTCACAACTCTGTCACATCTTACAACTCAAAAGGAACTTTTTAATAATAACACCTGAAAATTATTCCTATCCATATTTCCCATCTTTTCCTAAAACTTCCATAGGCAGATATTTTTTCTCTTCTCTTTACCCATCAATCTCCTCCTGAAGAATGACCTTATTTTCTTTTTGTCAATATCCTTTTCTAACACAAATGTAACAATTACCTTTTTTCCTTCCTCTGGCCCCACTACCTCACTTGTTGACATAAAAGTTATATCCAATCAATTGCTTTTCATCTCTACTTCACCTGAAGCTGCACTTCATGTTTCATTAGAAGTCGGAAGATGTCACCCAGCCAAATATAAAGGTTTAATAATTTACATGTTAGCACTATTCTTGCATTTCTACATATTCACAGTACCAAGAAATAAACCAATAAAATAAATAAATAAAAAATTTAAAAAAAAAAGCCCCAACACCAACAGCTTTCCCCTCCCACTGATTCATGCAATCAGAACTCACACCCCGCCCCCAACATTTTCTGTGTTGGATTACTGAAATATTTCTTTATCAAATGTTCTCAAAATATCACTTCTATTCTAATAACCTTGGCTTGTTGTCCTAAATGGTTGAGTTCCTGCACTAATCTCTATCTCCAACTCAAAACAAAGTTTCTTGCTTTTTTTTCTTACCCATTAATTTGACCTTTAATACTGAAAAACAGCTACTGAAACACACAGTTTTTCTTAACTTAAAGGCAATTTTTACTATTTCTGTGTGGATTAGAAAATACACTTTTCCAGATACTAACCAAAAAGTCTACCCTGCTTGTCATCTTCTCCTTTCCTCTGCTTCCAATTAAAAATAAACTAGAGCATAACAGTATTTTAGGTGTTTTTCTAATTTTCATGATACGCACTTACACATCATGTATTATTCAAGGCTCTTTTGAACTTAGAGACACGAAATGGGAGATGAATTATCTCACTACAGGAGATAATATAAGACCTCAGTACAAATTGAGAGCACATAGGCACTAGTGTAACAAAACATTTACAGCAGTCACAATTTAAAAAAATTGGTAATAACCTTCAGCACATCCATCACCTTGCTTCTTTCCCAGAAAACCACTGACAAATAGTGAGTCATTAACAAAAGCAAATTTTAACCTTCATATGCTAGTTTTTTAATTCATATTATTTAGAATTAGACAACCTGGTTAAAGGAAGCAATCCAATTCATAAATTCTCATCATGGCTAGGCTTCACGAACGAAGATTTGAGAAGGGCTCTACCCACACTTGCTACAAGCGCGCTGATGTCATAAATTCTAACATAAGGAAATTAATCCAAATTATAATAAAAACAATGTAATTTTTTTAACATGCTAGAAATATCATGTGAAGATGGTATTCGCTATATTTGGATTCCTCTGAAATTTCAGGCATGGCAAGGAGGTAGGAAAATATCTAAGGAGCGACAAAGAGATAAATGTTAACTCTAATTATTTGCTGATAGTGGAGTTCAAAGACTGTGTAACCAACAAAAGAACATTTTTATTTAGTCAATAAACTCTCTGAATAGAAGCTTCATAAACATACCAATTGAAGGATGTCCTCGTCTTTTGGCATAACACTAAGTTCCAATATGCTGTCACTGAAACAAACAGGAAAAAAACATACATCACACATTAACTTCTGGAGAAGATTTTAAATTCTTGTTACAGAGACGATCCATTAACTTCCATAGATGACAACTATTCAAAAACTCCAACACTCAGCTATTCTGACAAATACTTTACACAACAGAAATAAACACTGATTTCCATTAGAGTCTTAGCAAGACAGAGTAGAACAGAAATCTGACTCAAGAACACAACTGTGTTCTCAGTAAAACCAGTTTATTGAGCCAACACACTGGGTTTGGCAGGCTTTTTTTTTCCATGAAGTCCTAAGGTACACTACTTGTTTGGAGCTTCTTGGACAAAACGACGTGACAAATTTGTGAATACAAGATAAAACTTCTCTCCTTCTTCCATTTAAAATTAAGTCTCTAAAATTGCTAGGCAGAAGACATAACCACCACATCAAGTGAAAAGTGGAGCAATACCAAGGCAAGCACTGACTTACACCTTTCCACTCCAATCACCTCCTGGCAGAATCAGCTTAAATACATTTAGTCATCCAGATGACATCTGAAATATGGATGAAAAATGCTTGCTATTTATAAGTGCTGCATTTGTCAGTCTGAATTGCTGAAACCAAAAGCAGCAGCAGCAGCATAAAGATCCAGGAATCCAGACAGTTCAATCAATGTGACTCAAATACAGGCAAAATCAGGACACTAAATGTACCAGTTATCCAGAATCAAGTATTTTAAAACAGTGAAACCTACTGTCTGCATCTACCAGAAAAAGGTATTTTTACAAGCAAGTGAGAAATATGTGCTTGTAACATGGGATACGAAATAGCTGAATTCATTATCTCATCTGACATAAAGGAATAATCTGTTCACATTCATTAAATGTAAAGACTAATGTACAGTCTATTTTAACTAGGTTGGAAAAACAGAAAATGAAGATTCTATGACCATCATTTAGAAATCACACATTACATGTCACAAGAAAAAAAACAATGTATTTAAAAAAACTGACCAGTACCAGCATAAAAAAAAAGGCATAAATCCTAACTGGGTATGTCAGACCAGAAATTTGCTGTAAATACAACACATTAGCTGAGAAAAGATAAAACCAGCACAAAGACTGACCCCAACTTCAGGGCACACTGATCAGCTTATGAAAGCACTGAGGAGGAACTCAGTTTCTTATTTCTACAGAAAAGAAAGTCATTATCTCAAACATGTAATGTGTGATTTATTATGCTTCCTTATATGAAGAATGTTTTTATTTTGTGGTTCCTTTTCTATTTTTTAGCAACCGCAGATATAAGGCTGCATTCCAGAATAGCAGAGTAAGGGTATTTGGTTTCACAATCTTCTTAAATCATTCTTCATTCTGGAGAAAAGTGTTCGCCAAGAAGCAAAAATTACTTTAGTTTTGAAACCAAGTATCAGCAGTGATTTAAGTTTTTCTTTTTAAGTCTACACACATCTAGGAAAAAATGAGTCTTCAAAAGCCTTGTTAAGATTTTTCAAAATACTGAATTTTAAGAAACAAGAGAGTATTGACTTTATGTACATTTACAATAACATTCCCCATATTGACCGAATGCATAAACAATGGAACTATTTAAAATTATTCTTTCAAAGTAGTGTCATCATGAGCTGACTTATCTAAACTCCTTTGTACGGATTTTAAACTATCCATCAGCTGTAAAAGAAAAATATAATATGAAACAGATACCACAGCTTGAAGCATTTCTAATGAATTGTTCAGACTTCATTTCTATGTGTGGATGGCATGTATGTATACATCCTATTAGGCAACTGATAATAATCAATCCTTACTTTCAGGGTGAAGACTTTGGATGTTAAAAATACGATAAATAGCACTGCTCCTCTTAAAGCGCTTTTTATACGAAGATACATAATCTGAGACAGAATAAACCATACTCATTCAAATATCTTCTGTGTTGTCCCCCGATTTTTTTTTTTTAAGAAGGTAATTAAATCTATTTCCACTCACAGACTTAACAGCCATTTTAGTAGTGATCCAAAAGAGAAAAGAATTCCATTCAGGAACAATGTTTTAAATGTCATTCCAATAACTACTTAACTACTCTATTCCAGTTTGCTGAAGAACTTTCTGGAGACAATTTGGATCTTCCTACTTCATATTTTCTGACATGCTCTCAGCATGTTTTTCAATTGTCATATAAGAAACAAAAAGTGTTAAGGAAGACTTTAGGTGCACCTTTCTATACAATGTACATGTAAATTATGAACTAGTAAGTGTTGATAAGAACCATCACATAGAAGATGGTAGGTTATACTGAAACACTAGGCACAGTACTGAGAACTCTGAGATAGCTATCATTCAAATTTCTTTCATTACACATTCTAAGAGCCAAATTTAAATGTATTGACCCAGAGTCATCAAACTAAAGCACTAATCATAAAGACTACCTTCCAATGCATTATTTTGTATTAATGATTCAGTAGCTGAACTCTGTACACTTCTGAGTAATCCCAACACATTCAAGAAGAATTTGCAAAGAGAAACAAGTGGAACAGACAATCATTCAAATTCCCCACAGTTAAAGAAATAAAAGAGGAGGGGGAAGAAGTTGCAAATCAGAATCTGTTTCTTGTTTTATTTAGAACTATAAATAATTTAAAGTTAGATTAGTAATCAACAGATCTCCAAGTTGATTATGTATGTAAACAGATAAGAATAAAGTCTTAATGGACCAAAGTAGCAACTGTTGGTAAAGAGCAGGAAAAAGACTTGAAAGTGTTCTTGTGACTAATTGTGTAGTTACTGTAGCAACTCTTTTGAGGTGTGTCTTTTATCTTCCAGAGGAAATAATCAGTGTAAGTTTAGCTTTGCCATCTCCAAGCAGAGTAAAATAGAAAACATTCTAGACACAGCTTGAAATTTTTCTAGGAACTATACAAAGCATGGCTGAATTATATCCCATCCATAAGTCCCACTGGAAAATAAGAGTATCATTTCATCTAAGGCAGCTAAGTTCTGATGTCTGCAGCATTATATAATGAAGACAAACAGCTATAATTGAAAAACTTTCTAGAAAAATAATGAACACCTATGAAAATGGAGCCACTGGAGTGATCTAAAGAAGTCTGCAAGTCCACACTGAGTTTCGTTGCAAAGAGCTGAACAGTGAAGGAGGGGAGGGGAACTCTCTCTTTAGAAAGAAGAGTATAAAATGTGTTGTATCCTTAAAAACTACTCTGAAGATGACAAGAAAAATGACAAAAGAATAAGCATTTACAGTCATCAATATGTTTGAATGAGTAATTAAAAACAATAATTAAAAATACAGCAATTAAAGTATCTAGAAAACCAACACACAGCCTACTAAGACTATGAAGAAAACTGTATTTAGTCATGAATAAAGGAGATTTCAACTGACAACTTTTCAAAAACCCTTTCAGCATTTTGCTTGCACAAAGTCTACTAAAGAAACCAAGGTGTGCTGGATGAAAGATCAGCTAAGACACAAAACACAGCAAGAACTGTGTCACTGGGTATTTTTAAAATGAAGAGCTTAAGTACATTCAACAGCAAATTTGTGCAAGATCAACTTATCAACTATTAAATCAAACAATGTAGGTAAAATCTGTAGTTCAGCAAGTTCCTAAACCAAGGATTTCTGGGAATGGGTATGGTATTTTCTGGGCTGGTATTATCTGACCATTCTATATTTCACTGTTTCCATATACCTCTCCTAAGAAATCTTTGCTAAATATTATTAGAGAAGATAATGGCATAACAAACCATCAGCCCTACCCAGGATGGCAATGCTGATTCAAGAGCAGCCTGCTAAAGCAAGAACCATGCACCATAATAAAATTTTATTTGCCATGAAAGGGTAGCATAAGAAATAAAATACTTGTGTGCAGAACAAACTGCTCTGAGCTCCAAAATACTGTTTTGAAGCAAAGAATGAGAGAGATGATTCTTCAGTCACAGGAGAAGTACTGCCTGTAAGCCACAAGAAAGGTACACCTGGTCTGCAGTCTGAACTCTCTTTATGGATCAGAATTAATATTCATCTGTTTATATCAAGAGGTTCAGCTGAAGACTTCCTAATGGTTGTATTTTCTGTATAAAATGCTGGAGGATACACATGACCTTTTGTTACAATCTTCTGTGATGTACACATCTGGCTTGAGAAAACAAACTGTTCTCCTCTCCTAACTAACAATAGCATCCCTTTATCCTCTCTGCACTCATGGAAATCAGGGGGACAGATGCAGCAGACATCATTTCTGATTGCACTAGATAATCACTGACAAGGCCTCGTTCAGGTGTCCCTGGTTTATCCACAGTGGGCAGGGGTTGAACTCTACAGAATGGTTCAATAACTACACTCTCAGGGTTGAAAATTAAACTTTATTCACAGGCACACCTAGAGTTCACTGAAGAATCACTGACCACACAGATGTGGTTGGTCTCTTTCTTGGATTAAGAGAGTTAACTGGCTGATGCACAGGCTTGGGCATGTAATGTCCTGTGTCTTGGGTATACACTACTGTACAAAAGTGGTATCTCTATAAATATAAAATCAAGAAATGATACATGGCTAGTGTTATCTCCAGTGAAGGACATAAAAGAAGGTAAGGTTCCATCTTTCCAGCTCTTGTATAGACACTATTAATGACACAAAACATGTTTTGGCCTGCCTTACCCATCACACTCTTTCATGCTGATCATAATACATCTTTTTTGCACATAACCCATTATTATACTGGAAACTTGTTACTGTAGAACAGAAACTGATACCAAGAAAACTAAAAATGGAGGCAGACAAGACACAAAAATGAGTATCTAGACTTGTGTATGGACATGATTTCACAAGCCCTTGTGAGTCGCAGGCAGGAGCAGTATTAGCATTTCCTCCACTCTGTGCAAGGTTCATAATTTGCTGCAAAACAGAGGAAAGCCAAGATATTTTGCAGGTGTGCACTAGAATAAAATTTTTCCATTACTAAATATGCTGATTTTGAGTTATTAGATCTCATAAGCAAGGTAGATTTTTCTGATTTTCAGTTGACACATATACACATGGTGTATGTGTATCTACTTTGTCTGCTTTAAGTTCAACTTTCCTCTATAGCACTCAGTGTTACTTGCTATCAAGGGACAAGTACTGACATAAAAGGACTGTTGTATAATTCAGCACACCTATTCTCAAAACTCTCTCAGTATTCACCAAATACATGAAAAACAGAAATAGTAAAACTGAGTGTGTATTAAGGAAACTTTAAAAATACAATGACATTTCAAAACCCCCACAAGTGGTCATTTCCTGCTTGGTATACAAAAAATAAGAGGCACAATGAAATACTAGTACCTTACCTGTTCTGTATTAAAGCAATGACTTGAGAATATGTCTTCCCAATAACACTTTCCCCATTGACTTTTATAATTCTGTCACCTGGAAATGGAAAAGTTATAACTGAAATCAATTTGTCTAGACATTTTTTAAACAGTTATTTTGTACTTCTGTACCCCATAATAATCAAGAACACCAATATAAATTCAAGGTTAGTCCTCCTTAAAAATAAAAAAGAAGGTAAGATGCACAATACAACTACATGTAACCATACACGGGACATAAAATTTCTGCTCTTTTCTCAGAACATGTTCAGATGTGCACCTTACCCTAAACTTCCAAATGAATCATGTAGAAAGTCGTAGAAAGAAAACTGCACGCAGGTGTAAGCTATACCAGAGGCTCACTTAGGTATCCCATCTTCAAAACAAACCTGTTGATGTATGGTAACACATACTGACAATTCTGCCTGATTCTTAAGCAAATTACAAGTAGATATTTCATGCCAGCACTTAACCTCAAAATAAAACCAAACTTTTAACTCTCCTTTAATAGCAGTGCATACTGCCATTTTGTACTTCTTCCTTATTAGAAATAAAAAGCAGACCTTCTGAAAACTCCAATTTCCTCCTTCCTCAGAATAACCAGTGCTGTTTTCAAGATATTACGGTGTTTAGTGTGCCTTGGACAAGGATAATGAGTTATTTCTAATCCATATAGTTCAGTCTTTAGATCTTACATCACTTTTGTAAGATTTCTTCAGATAGTTTGTTGTACCTTCCTCATTAAGAGCTTCTTATACTCTCACAAATAAACTGTCAAATCTATTGTGAAGAGTTATTTGTAGCTTTTGACGAAAAACCTATCCCATTCCTTGAACTAAATGATATTTAAAGTCATCTCTGATCTGAAGAGCAGAAAGTTATCTTGAATTTACCAATGAGGAGAAAATGGTTTAAAGATAGGTAAGGAGCTTTGGAAAGCTGCTAGAGATAAAAGAGCTGAAAGAAAGAACCCATACAAAGTAAGCCCGAGAATGGCTTTTTTAACATTGCATTAGAAACTGAAAGCCCTTTCCCTGTTGCTGGCAAGATCAAATTAAAGAAGGAAAAAGCTGCTCTCTCTAAATACTCAGCCTGACTTGGAGAAAATAATGCTTTAAATGCTTGTGCTCTGTGGAGGTTCCCTTCACAGACCCTATGGATTTACAAACTACATGGATCTTCTGACATTTTAACTTGGTCTGCGCTCACAATGTTAAGGTAATGCAAATAAACTGGTGCAATATTTTGAACTTTATAAAAGTTTACATATTCCCTTCAATTCATTGGTTACTGCCTTTTTCCTTGACTGAAAGAACTCTTTTGTGTCTCTTGCTTCTTAAGGGATGAAAGAAAGCTTGGTGGCAACATTTAATAGCTGCTGGCAACCCACATGCCTGATAGGCACCTGTGATGGATGGCAAACCCTATCCCACTGCTGCACATACACAGACGTGTTATGTAATCAGGGTGAGAAACTGGACTATCCATGGAATCACACCAAAATTAACCCTTTCAAAAAGCTGTAGAAAAAAGGAATGCTATAGTTTATGCCAAAACATATTTTTATTTACAAGCCCTGAGTCCTGTCCTGTTAGATTGTATCACAAGACTTCCTCAGAACACACCAGATCCTCCTCTGGAATTTGAACTGGCTTTTTTCCAGGCTGTTTAAGAACCTGCTCACAGATGTAGATCTTTCCTCTGTATTTCCTCTAAAAACTAAGATTAGGAATATCTTTAAAATAGGTTACACCATCTTATCTATACTTGTGCAGCTTTTATTTTTCAAAGAAGCAGACAAGATTATACACAGCAGTGAAATGAGTCTACTTGAAGTATGCATCCAATGGACCCACCAAGAGACCCAGGTGGGACATGCTATGGAATTCTCACAGGAATGACGTGAGCACAGACAACTCTGTAAAATACAACTTTGCTCCACTTCAGGGACACATAAAGGGGAAGGTCAGGGCCTGTAGTGCAAAAAATGATTTAGAAACATGAAGGCTTTTCCTAATAGCTCTCCATCAGTCTGGTGGCTCATTAAAGACCCTTGATCAAACCAGAAATTACTCTGAATGCACTTAAACCATCTCCCTTTCTACACACATTTTAGTTCTTTATATTCTTGCCTATATAAAAGTGACAGCATGAAAACGAAGACATGGGAAATGTGCATTTCTTTTGGCTGTTTGTATTTCAATATTTCTAACACTTATGCTTGGAATCAGCTATGTTATTTTTTCATGAAATGCCTCAGAGGTTAAACAGGGGAAGTATTTTCTTTTTATCTCTAACAAACATGATTTCACAGGAGTATTTAAAAATATTCAGAACGGTTTGTCTTACATTTAAGATATTGTAACCTACTGCTCAAATTAGCAAGAATATTCCAAGTTTTCTGATGAATAGCAGCCAGGTAAGCTCCTGAAAGAGAGCTCAACTCATTCTGGGTAATGAAGCTTATGCTGAGATTTTCAGTATTATAAAGGACCCTGCAGCAACGAAATAAGAATTGACAAATGTAACTACCTAAACTCATACTCAATTTTCAAGTATTTTCTTTTCTTCAGTGTGATCATGAAATAGTGCCAAGTTATACTAGGAAAAAAAATATAGTTGATTTTACAAATTAAGAAATTTAGATGGTGTCTGTATTCGAGGTTAAGCAATCTACCCGGCTGATCACTCCCTGAGTGTTTTATAATATAATTTCAAGACAGAGATACAGTCATGTATTTCACCCTAAAACCTGTAAACAAGAAATATTGGCATGACCTAATTAGATATAGCAGTGTGTTTAAGAAGACTATTCTAGTAACTAAAAAACGTATTTTTCTCATTTATTTTATCTTCTTTATTCTGGGCTCCTAAAAATCTCTTCTATGACTAAAAATAAAATCATCTCTACAGATTTCATCTCCCTCAATTTGGCAAACACTGAATAGAGCAGAAATTAACATGGCTCCTCTGTACAACTTCAACATATGCTGTGTTTTATCAAGCCAAAACATTTCTTTATATAATATCATCAAATAACACTGAAGTAGCCCTTCCCTGAATAACTACTTTAGTAGGAGTCTAAAAAAACCCAAATTACATTGCACAAGTAGGATCTGGTACTGCTTTTAAACTGATCATCCTAGAAACTTCATATTTTTTTAGGAAGACCATACAAGCTTATTCTATTCCAGTCAAATGCAGGTGCATAACTGTTTCCAAAGGAAAATATCAACACTCCATTACTGATACAAGCACAAACCTTTCATAGATTGTAAGTTTTGTCGCACTTTTAAGAAACCTGTGTTTGTAGTGGCATTCATCTGTGCAACTTATCTTTTTATCACCTGTAAGACTTTCCATTCTAACACGATTTTTTCCTTTGAAACTTGAGTAAAGGTGTGACACATTGCACAAAAACCCTATGTTTTCTGCTCTCTAGTTTGATTGAAAGAAAGACTGAGCAGGATTTTTTCTAAAAAGAGATAGACTTGGACTGTCCCTACTGAATTTAAAGGAGGTAGAATGGAACAATTTAAAGCACATAAACCTGAATGTTTTCAGGTTATCAATTTGTCACAAAGCAAAAGGAATAGGAGCTCACGGGAGTTATTTTCCTCCCTTTTCTCCTTCTGTTCACATTTTACCATATACTTATTCTTACTATTTTTAAGATAATAAACCAAAAACACTAAGACTGTAATGCCTTAATAAACATCACAGTGCTTTCAAGATTAAATCCTGGAGGACAATTTGAAAGAGATTTTAGCTTGTGAATGAAAGAACAAGGTTTAAAAGGAAGAGAGAACTATATGTAGAAACTTAAATCACGAACATTTGACATCATGTACACAAACATATCACAGAAGAACAGTACCTGTGCACAGTCCAGCTTCAAAAGCAGGTCCACCCTCTTTAACTTGTTTAACGAATATGGTATCCATTGGCTCCAGTCTATTTCTTTGTTTTCCTGAGGACAAAAGAATATTTAATGGAATTTCATTATACTGCCTCAATGTTTTTACTCCAAGAATATTTTTGGACATAATCCCATTTATACAGACCTACAGAGTAAGAAATAATGATGTAAGCTAAAAAAATTAAATTTCAAAATCTTTCTTTAGAAGGAAAAAACGTAACATTGATTTACAGTCCTTCTGGAACTGTAACACTGATTTTCTAACAGTGTTTTTCAGATGCTCCAAGATGAAGTAGAAAGTTTTCTTGAAGTTCAAAAAGCAATACATAATTCAAAGTAAATTGTAATGTCTGGAAATGCTGTACCTATACATTATTACACAATGTGGAAGATAATCTGCAGTAATTAGAAAACATGTAAACCTGTATCTTCTTGCTTTCTCAATACATGCTTAATTTCTCCCAGAAACACAGGTACCTATGTAATCAAAGCTGAGTAATTCTTAGCTAAGCAGCCACTGTGTTTGAATATCAAGAAGGGGGGAGGTGGGTGTGTGTGCAGTAAAACAAACAAAAAACACAAACAAAAAACCTCCACAGTTATACTGCAGGTTAAAATAGTGTTGCTGTGCTACATCTGCACATAGTTGGAATAAGTCATTTTACAGCACCTACACACTCCACTTATATAATTTTTATACCAGTGACCCAAAAAAAAAAAAAAAAAAAAAAAAAAAACACAACAAGCACCACAAATCCTGCAAAAAAGCAAACATGAGAGACTCCCCCTCCCCACCAAACACATTATTTCCAGTCTGCAGAAAATTGCACTCAATCTAAATTTGTCCTACAGTGTTATCAGTGTCTCCTGACACCCCTATGTGGTGCAAACTGGAGCAGTCACTGAACCAGAGGCAGAACCTGGAAGGTCACAGCCAGATCCACATGGTCTGGCAGTACCAGCGCAGGCTTGAACAGCCCAGTTCCTCCCAACTCCAATCACCAGTTACTACCCTTGTTCCACACTCTCAGCTAAGGAAATGCCAACTTGGAGGCTTCGTGATGAGCCAGCCTGGGGAACTGACATGGCATGAAAGTTATCTTGGTCTGGGTTGCAGTTTACCAGGAAACCCTGGCATAGCTGAGACAGTAGTTTAAATGCAGAAAAAGAAGGAACAGCAGGAGAGAATAAAGGGATTGCTTAAAACTGGCACTGCTGATAAAAGAAACACTCCTTACAACTGGAGTATTAGGTTCTAATCACTTCTTCAGTGATGGACCTTTGATTTAGGCAAAAATGGCACTGCTTTTGGCAGTACTTTCCCTACAGCTTTAAATATCCCACCTGGACATATTTAATAATCCACTGCAATACTTACTGAATATAAATAAAGTGTCCCCCTTACCCCTTTTTTTAGTTCAGTTTCCATGTTGGAAAAGCGCATTATTTGAAAAACTTTAGTAAATTGCACAGAATCACACTTCCCTCTGACAGATCCACATTTTTCAAAGACAAGTTTTAGCCTAATGCCTTCAATTCTGCAACCTCTCAGTATCCTGCCATTTTACCACAAAACAGTTCAACAAAATGGCTTACTCATATGCCTCCAAATGGTCTTCTCAAAGTAATTCCACATTGTCAGAGAATAATCAAAAAGTTGATCTGATAGAGTCAGATAAATACTATATATAAAGCAACTGAATTACAGACCCAGAAACTCCAGCTGGCAGCTCAGTCCCCAAATACTTTAAAATTTGATTAGTGGGACAGAGCTCCAAGACATACAAAATGCTCTTTGTGAACCAAAGTTAATATCTGTCATTTTTAATCTGCAGATTTAAATAGACACTGAACATATGATGGGTCTCACCCCTTAAGAGGCAGTAATGTTTCAGCAAGTTTAGAGAAGCTCCAAGAATAATCTACCCGATGCCATGAACAAAAGGTTGTTTCAACCACTTAAAAGAGCGAAGTTAAAATATGGCCTTTTATAGCAACACCAAACATCCTTCCCAGTGCTGCCACTTAATCCTTTACATACAGTCCCAGAAGGGACAAGAAAAATAAAAATAATGCAGCTCACATGGCACATTTAATTTGTAACACAATATCTGATAATTATAACCCAACACCAAGGGGCTACCTCAGCTTCCTTTATAAAATACTCTTTAAAAAAAAAAAAAAAAAAAGCTTAGTGGTCTATTGTTAGTTTGCTTAGTACTCAAATGCTCCTTTAAACCTTATCCATACCAGAACATGCAAAGCAAGAGGTCAGGAAAATAAAATTACTCCCATTCAGTATCCAACCCAGAATTCCTTTAATACACTTCCCACTTCTGCGTAAGAGGGAGGAAATCCTGTAACGATTTTTGGAGTGCCTAAATGTCCATTTGATCCTGTCCACATCAAACCATCAGGTAAAAGCAAGATGCTGTCCAAAAATGTGAGCCTAAACTTCCCTTGTTCCAAACTCCACCATCCAGAGCAGACTATAACAGTGGAATTTTTATACTAAGTTCTCCAGCTCTGCACTACATAGTCTCAAGATTCAAAATTTCCCTTTCTAATACTGAAAGGCCCAATTTTTTGGAGCATGCCAGCAATTCCTTACAATGTGACATAACAAAGAACAGTAAAGCAGCTCAGACTACTAGTCCTGTAAGACATGTAGCCTTATTTGCCAGTGCTTTTGCAGTGCTCATTGCTGCATATGATTTTGCCTTCTCCCTCCTTCTCCATACTTTTGTTAGCAACTTTATAATTGAGCATTACATTGCAGGCTACCAGCAAATAGGACGATTTCTTCCAGATCTTTAACTGCAAGTGGGAAATAAGACATCATGCACACACAAAAAACAGGCTAAAGTGTGAGCTGCCAATAACACACTCACATGTGCAAGGAAACAGCAGTAGCCGGTATGTTTTTCATAACTATGCAAATCTTCTAATTAATCAGTAATTTTCAACCAAATACTACACGCTACCTTCACTAGCCAGTGAGATCACAGTAAAATCTACAAATTAAGATTAGTGTCTTTTTTCAACTGTGGTTCAAATGAATATAAAATAAAATTAAAAACTTTATTCATAATACATATCATAGAGCAACTTATGATCTAACCTTTACAGTATCTAGATTTTTGAGCTGAGACTACAAGTCCACACTGCCTTCACAGTCCGACAGTGGAAGTGGGTTTCTCACTGCAAAGTTACAAGGAAGCTTTCTTGACAAATGTTTAAGGTGCCAGAAGTAGCAGAGGGTAGTACACTGCACTAGCACAACTACTTCATTTGCAAAATAGTAAAACTCTAAAATGCTCTCTCTCTCCATGGTAAAAGGGAATATAAAAAACAACAAAAAATTACTACTTTTAAACATAACACAGAAGTAAGACTAGTTAATATTTATAATTGATTTACTGTCAATCTGGGGGGTCACAACCAGTAAAACTTCCCTTAACTCCCCCAAACTTGACAAAGAAATTAATTGTAGCTTAATCCCCTAAAAAGCTAATTTAAAATACAGCTGCTACAAAGAACATGAGTAGTATTATATTAAATGCAGTAGCCATGAGATAAATTAACTCTCTGCAGACCAGGTAGTATTACTATACTGTTCTGCAATTCACCTGGAAAACAAAATGACATGGCAGAAGTTACACTATCAAATCTACCAACACACTACAACATAGCAATAAGCACATTATTTCTCTGTAGTCATTGAGCTGCTGATACAAAACACAGTCAGATAAAAACATCTGAGTCACAAAGACTACACAAAAAGGACACTTCCTTGACAACCTTTACATTCTGGAGAGAAAAAAAAAATTAAAAAGAAAGAAACAAAAAAGGAATCCTATGCCGAAGAGCTATTGCTGACATAGCTCTTTCTTTCATTTTGACCTGCAGAGCACAAACCTGCAAGTGCTGGGACACAGCAGAACACATACTCTCTCACAAAGTTTCTCCTAAGAACTCATCGCTTAAAAACATGCCGTTATCTTCCTAGAAGGGGAGGAAAAAAAATAAATCTTCTGCTCAGGACAGCTGAACTGTGCTTAGAATTCCTCATAACACAGGCACTGAATAAAGCCTACAGACTTGTGTTAAATAACCTTTCACAGAACATTTTTACTCCCAGCCCTATGCTCAGCAGACAGCAAGGGGATGACTTTCATTTTTATATTCAAGAATCACCAGCCCAATTACTTTAAATCAGTAAATTAAGACCAGCTCTTATGTACATCTTTCTCTGACTCAAGAAGGAAGAATATTCCTCTTGAACATGAAGATCTACAAGTATGCTTTTAGATATCCAAGGCATTTGAGCTCCATTGCTTCAACAAGGCTGAGTGGCACTGATTCTTTGGGCGCCTTTCAGGCAAAAGGAGGGGAAATAGATGGAGGGGGGCAAATGCTTCAAATTGATTAATGAATCAAAAACTTGCTAATCATTTCCCAAGCTACTCAAAACAAGACTGCCACGAGTATAGCAGAAGTTAGATTTATTATCTGAAATTTCATTTAATTAAATATAAATCACAAAACTGTCAGGATTACACTTAACTAAGAGAGTCCCACAAAAGACAATTACAGATATTATAACCTGCAAATTAAATTCCATACACAATAAGCATTTCTCCACTAGCAATCCACTGCAGAAGAGGAGCCCAAACGTCCCACTCCAGCCCAACTGAGCTTATTTCACCCACTGTTAAGCACAAAATAACTCAACTGAAAAACACTAACCAAAATATAAAGTGCAAAGGATGTCTCTGAAAGAGGATAATAAATAAATAAGTGCTGTTGAGTCATTTAGCAAAGAAACACCTGGCATTCAACTCTCTGATACAGGAAAAATACACCCTCATTATTCAAAGCACCCCCGGCATTTTGATTAGGCAACTCAAAGATGGTATTCCTTATTTTGCTCACTTCCCTGTTAAACCATTTGACTAATACAGCCTTAACTCAATCTTCCTGGCAAGGTGGGGGTAGAAGACGAAAAAATAACCTGGCGTTGTTACAGAAAACATGTAATAGTCTCAACTTAGTTACAAACCCTCCAAAATTGTGTTCTCCCATTGCATTATTTGCCAAAACTATTACTTTTTAAATTTATCTCAAATCGAAAATTAAACCTTTTCAAATTTAAAATTTAAGCTCTGATTAGTCTAGAGGATTTGCTTTAGTTCATAGACAAGCATAGGCCCACAATTTATATCTGTTGTAGTGAACCTACAGTCTCCCCTAAATGCATGGAAATTACACTTTGTGTTTGTATCAAAATTCAAAGATGATTTGAACTCAGCAGTAATCAATGAGAAACATTATGTATGTGACAAGTTGGAAGGTCAATCCACCAGATATTCTGGATGAACTATAAAGGAGCAAAGAATCCTCAGGCTGTGGTCTCAGCAAAAAACTAAATGAGCCCTCTTTTAGCATTCTCAACATTTGGGTGTTAAAAAATGTTAGATTAAAGAGGGTAATTTAGGATAGCGCCACTATCCTAGAGCATTAGTCTGTTGCCTTTTACTCCTAATTCTATTATCATACACCTTAGACCATATCACCCCAGCAATCTATGACCTTTCAATACTTCCTTTCAACATTCATTTTCTTGCTCCTTATCAACCTTGTTCCCATCATCACAGGCACAATATGTTTATTCGTAACAGATAGAGCCAATAGACCCTGACGCTAAAAAGGATGGGATTAAATTAAAACCTGGGAGAACACTAACTACATTACAGAAATCAGGAGTCTGTTGAAAGAAATGAAGCATCAAAACTCCAGGTCCTATGTAAGTTGCAGTAACGAAAAAAAAGCTTTTTCTGCATTTTTTCCACCTTTCCCCTGAAGGCTCTACATCATCACAGCAGACTTGCAGAAGTGAAGAAGCCCAAATAATAAATTGGATCTATTTAGCTTAGACAACTGAAGGGTAGAAACTTTAACCCATATTTAGGCACATCAAAAAAAAAAAATAGCCTGGTGATCAGAGTTTAGTGTTCTAGAAATCTTAGTGAAAACAGATGTCTAAAATCTCATTAACAGCTCATTTTTATGTGAAAATGAGCTGCTATTTGCTATAGATACTTCTACACAGAAATAGAGATTAACATAATACAAGCAACATCATATTAAAAAAAAAAAGATACTGGAATCCCAGGTACTCTATTAAACAAAAAAATAGCTTAGTTCTCCAGAAATATCAAATTTCTTTCAGTCTTATTTCTTTATGCTTATCACTGCTTACTTTAAGCATGGCCACCAAGCTGAACGTTTTTGAAGAAAAACATGTTTGGGGACAATATACAAGAACTACCAACCAATTTCATATGTACTAGACTTGTGTTTTGGCATCTAGAATTTTAAATACTGTTTGAAGGACAACAACATGTAGAATCATACTTAGTGCACAATGAAACAGCATGGAGATATTTTTCTCCAGCACCATTTACCACATGTTGACAATGTAAGTTTTTAATAAATAATACTACTGCTTTTACTAGGTGTTGTTATTTTTGGGTATGTCTCCAAATATTCCTAATATGCTCTCTTGGGAAAGTTTTACCTGTGAGATACCACTTAAATGAATAACTGCATTTTGAAAAAGGGTAATTCCAGAAAAAAAGAATACGTATTTGAGGATGGCAAACCATCCTCAAAAAACATTAAATAAATACTCCAAGTTATTTCTTGGAGTAATAACTACAAGAAATACTTAATATAGGCTGGTAAGTATAACAGAAATTCTCAAGAAAACAGTGATAAAAGTTTCCAGTCAGAGACCAAAGAATCCACTGTGGAAGATCTGCATCTTCTGACAAGGTGCACCTCTCAGAGAAGCATTTTAATGACTTAGCTAAAGGTCAACAACCTGATGCAGCAGAAGAATGAGAGAACTGAAAACTTTAAAATAGTAACTACAAAATATTTAGGGTAAATCTGTTGTGATGCCCTTCCAGCAGAAAAAAGGGTGCTATTGTCCCCATGGAGGAGCAGGACCTGCGTATGTGAATCTTCCACCACTGGTCTCAAGAAGCCTTGGCTACTTCTTCCATTAAAGGGCAGTAGCAGACACCCACCAAAACATTGCCCACATGGAGTCTGCCCACAAATCCTGATCATAAGCTCTAAGCCAGCTCCCCATCCATCCTAGGCCAGACCTCCATGCATCCCTGCTGCTCTCTCACAACCTGATCAGAAAAAAAAAAAAAAAAATCCAATCTCCACACTGTCCCAACCTGTCCTTCCCAAAGTGCCTGTACCCACCCCCTGCAGCACCCTCGCCCTCTCCTGTTGGATATCCCACCCCCTTTCTGTGATCCCAGTGAGATCACAGCACTGCAAATGAGTGCAGATCTCCAACTCCTGGTTGTCCTCCCCAGGCTGCATGTGTGAGTGCACAGGGGCCCCAGAGAGGCCCTGAAAAAGGCACAAGAGCTCTCCCCATCATACTGTCCTGTAGACACTCTTATTCATGTGCATACACTTAAGGTGGTCCACTTTTGTCCCAGCTGTTGACAATGAGGTGTCTCCTGTCCACTGCATCCTAACCCCTTTGCTTGACAACTCAATCCTGCTTCTTGGCCACCACCTCCATGCCAGTTTAGAGCTCTCCTGGACAAATCCACACTACCTCTTATTCTAAATGCTTTGAAACCTTACTGCTTATCAAAAGTAAGATTAATGCAAGTCATGAGCATGATCTAATTATATACTAAATTCTACAGCAGAATATAAGACCATATAAAAATATTTCTTTCACTGTTAGAATACATCAAATCTGGTACACACTTTTATCTTCTGCCCTCTAGGCTTAATTAGGTACTCTGCTCCTTCAGAAAAAAATATTCAAGTGCTCTCAATAAAAGGCAATAGCAACAGAGATGCTTTTCTCCCATGCACCTAATCAAATATATAAATGTTGAATCCAACAAAAAGCCTCAAGGTAAGCTTAACCTACAAAAAGGGCAAAGCAAAAGGGCAAAAACTGATAAAAAAAGATACTTTTGCACTGGCACACACTGTTTCACAAAAATCAAAAGCTTGAATCCCCTTAGCTTAGTCTTTCAGACAGGAAAGCCCAAGTGAATTAAGTGAATTACCATTTACAAGCTTCAAAAGGAGAGTGTTTATCAGTGGGATATTTTTCCCGTTCCTCGCGGCAGGGCAGGTTTTCCAAGCTCGGCTGCAATGCCGGAATGCGCCACTGGGCGTCTCCAGCGCACGGCCCCGCCGCTCCCTGCCGGCCCCGCCGATCCCGTGTCCCAGGGCCCAGGACTCAAAGATTCCTTCTAATAACCCTTCACAGAACTTGGGGCCTACGTGCTGTCGCTGAATAAACGTCTCGTTTGTGAATTTGCAAAATGAGATGTGCGCTTTTCCTGATTTTCTCCCCACGAGCTGCCTACTCAGCTCATTGGGGAAAAGGAGCAACTTGCAGCAATGTAAATGGAAACCGTTTCACCCCTCTCCACCCCCAAGGATCACACTAAACTCTGGAGAAAAATGTCTTACAGACTTTGTCCCATTTTGTTATTTTTAAAGGTGTAACACACAGAAGCGGTAGGTTAAGTTCCACTGGCACCTACATCCTCTGCCCCACAGTCATCTCTTCTCTTTTCAGGAGCACAAGTCAAATCTTCTCTCCTTAGTGAGAAGGCTGTTACCTTTCAGAGTGTTTTGTGCCCTCTGTTCTCTATTTCAAGGCATACAACATACCAGGCTGCCATAAATAAGCAATAGTTGAGCCGTGATTCATAGTTCAAGTAGTTACACAAAAATTTCCATAAAGTAATCTTGTTCCCACCTGCACAGGTCTCAGAGTGAACCAAAGAAATACTTATTTACTGCTTTTCCACCACTGAAAAATAGATCTCAGATAACATTTTAGATAAACAGAACTACGTTACATCTTTAGATGATTGAGTTCTCCCTGTAAGAAGAAGAAGAATACCACGGAACTTTCTCTAGACCACAAGTGCCACCATGCTGGTTTGGCACAGATCATCGACTCCCTTCCTTTCCTAAAGCAATCTGCCTTTTTTTTTTGTATGTCAAAACAGATACAGGATGTTTCAAGTTTGGGGAGTGATAAGGAGTAGGAAGAGATTAACTTTTCACTGTGTAATGCACAGGTGATGACAGCCGAGCAAAACTAGGAGGATGAAATGGATGAATCCATCTGCTTCCAAGAGAAAAGTAAGAAAGTTCAAATAAATTCATATTTCCCATAATGCTTCTCATATATCACAGCTACACAAAGAAAACTGAAACAGAAGTTCAGAAAGGTCCTCTGTCTTCCAACTAAACAAGGTATTTGAAAATACACTGAAACCAGGTACCATTCTGTGCTACAAACCATAACCCACCAGTAAAGCAAGCACTTGGCCCACGCTGCCACCCGTCTTTGGGCAGGTTTGTCCCCAGGAAGCCGCACTGCTCTGCCAGGTGAAACGCACACTGAAGCCCTGCACATTGTACTCACAATGCAGCTGATCCCCCCTCCCCCATGTACCTCCCCGTTGTGACAGAAATGGAAATACAGAATAAATTTACAAAAAGTAAGTTAATGTGTGAATTAAGACAGAGAGCAGACATAGGCAATATGAGAGGGAGAAAGCTATAAAAATGGAGCAGAACTGACTGACATAACCTAGAAATAAGTGACTAATCAATGAGATTAATGCTCACACTGAAGTGAATTCAAGTTTCAGACTCTTAAGTAGTGACTGAAGTATATTACACAGATGAAGCATTCAATATATTGGAACTATGAGAGAATAAAAACAAGACATACCTTGTCTATTCCCATTCTCTTCATCCTAAGGAGGAAGAAAGAGTGCATATTAAAAATTCAATAAATGGAAAAAAATGCATCGGCATCTATTAGATACAAAGACTTGAAGTGAACTTGTAAGGTTAAGTCTGTATTCTGGTACCTCCTACTTTTTCCACAACTATTCAACTTAGAGAATTAAGGCTTTTATTCTGAGAATGTAGAGCAGTAGCTATTTTAAAAACAAACTAAGCACAATCCTATGAAACATCCCCCCAGAAACAACATGAACAGCATGATGCGAAAACAAATGTACCAAAACACATGAAACACTGCCATGAAGCCTAATACTGCACTTTGTGTTCTTGCAAGCACGTTCCACCCCAAAATCCAGGCAGGAAAGGTTACACTTTAATTATCTAAGGATTCAAAGCTAAATAGGCAAGAAATACAAAATATTTTGCAAACAAGGTCTGAATATGGTTTCCAAAATTTGAATATTTTTGTTTTACACTCAGTATTATTGTCTAGGAAAAACTATGTACCCCAATCACTATTTAGTAATAACCTTGAAGAGTCTCCTTTTGCTCACTGAACTATATACACATAATCAAAACTACCAGGTATCACTGACAGTCCTACAAAACAACACCACAACCAAAAACCCAACAAAACAAAAAACAAAAAAATCAAAACAACAACAAAAACACAAAGACCCAACAAAAACACAAACATACAAACAAACCAACCCCTAACCACACCCATCCCCTGGAATCATACAACTAGGAAGTACTGATGGAAAATGGTATGCTCAAACAAACAAATAAATATATTACTTTAATACTTTCTTGTCAATATTTTAGTATGAATGAAAGATCATGGTTAACCTTGTCTACAAAATTCAGAAGCATTTAAGAAGCACAATTGTTTAAGTATGGAAATACTTGCGTTCTGAACTGTAACCTTCATGGAGCAACAAATGTTCAATCTAAATAGAATTTCTTAGACTAATATGTATTATTTATAAAGTATTTTTAACTGTTCACCTCAGCTAATTAGAACAGCTTTATCCTGAAAGAAGGCACAAGGAGGTGATCACAGAAATAATTTTCACCTGAATATTGCCTCCTACTTTTAAGTGGGCTAATTCCAAATTTCTAGGTATTTTGCATTTGAAGACAAAACACTATGCTTTTCATATTAAATATTCTCAAGGCAACTATACACTGAACTGAGCAATCCATTCAAGAGAGAAAGACCTGAAGAAAGAGAGGGAATAAGACCTGGATACAAACACTATACAATAATGAGGATGAGACCAATCTGTCCTAGAAGCAATAGATTTCTTGTGACACATACAAAAGTTCTGTTGGAGCTCTGTAAGATACTACAGAAAAGCAACTTTAAGGAAGAGAAAAGCAATAAAAGAACTTCCCCAAACCTGAAACACTGAGTTAACAGAAATCTGGTACTCATCCTACTTTGAGAAAGCCATGATAATTATCACTGCCACCAATGTAGTGTATTCCTTAAGCTTTCCCTCCTACATTCACCTCTTACACACTGTAAAATATTAGTATATGCTGCATCCATACCTGAAGAGGTTTTCTTTTATCATGTATTTGCTTCTCAGACAAATGGAGAGACTCAAGAGAACAAACTTGTCATGCAACGTAGTGTCTGATTCTAACAAATCCTAATAAACATCTGATGCTAAATGCATTATGTAACAGTGGTTTTTTGCAACGCTAGCTTAAGAAATCTTCCACACACTCTTTATTCATTTTCTTAAGGGGAAAGGAGGCATGGAAAGCAAAAAGGATACATAATGGGTTATTCCTGAATGTGCAGCTATTCCCAGTTTGGTGTGTCCCCACAGAAGCAGACTAGTACTTTTGCCAAAATGAAATGTGTTAAACCTCAGCCTCAGTTTCCAAGATCATCTTTCACACCGTCCTTCACCCAGGGCTCTCCTTCCCAACAAGGCCTACCAGACAACACTTTCTTCCATAACCCTTCTCTATCACAATGCTTATAAATCAGTTAATTAGTACTAATTACAATGAAAAAGAGACCTCTGATTTGTAGTTAATCAGCTGGTTTGTGCAGGAACCATGAAAGATAGTAGAACTTAGCCTTGTATCCTGAATTTAACCTAGACCTGCAGTATTACGAACATACTGAATGTTAAATGAAAAAAATTAGATACAATGCAAAATGTTATATATATAATAAAAATATAAATTAAACATATCATACTAGCGTTTACTTCTAAAATATGCAGAGATCCTTCCCTGAACTGATTATAATCAATCATTTTCAATAATTTCAATGACAGTAAGTAAAGTCTGATTTCCACTCAGATGTGAGTGTAAATGGAGAAAACAGAGCTTTATGGATGTCCCTCATATTCAAGCCACTGTCACCTTGTCACTCCTTCCTTGTAGAGAGCTCCTCAGGACAACACACAAAAAGGTTTTCCAACTGAACATACTTTTTATTACACCAATTAGCACATTGAACTTCTCAAAATTTAAATAAAAACCCAACACCTTGAACACACCTAGGCAGAGAACAGGTTATTATACACTTTTATAAAAGTACTGCCCACTCTTCTCCACTCAATACATCCTTTAGGGTGGAGATCTTGGCTTCCAAACAAAGTCACGTAAGTGGCTTTCAAAGCTGCAATGTTCTCCAGCCTGTCAGAAACAAGGAATATCCAGCTGTGGTGTGATCCCTACCACACCCTGCAGGCTTTAGAACATTATGCTCTCTGTCCTAGAGATGACAATGTTCCCCCCGTGCTAAGAGTCTTGTCCTCTTCCCAGAGGATTCCACCTGACTTGTCAAAGCTTTTTCAAGCACACAAACTGCCAAGCAACAGGAGTAGAACTTTTAATGGGGACATTTTCATAATATATTTCTGAAGTGGAACAAAGAGTAGCTACTAAAAAAAAATAAAAACCACATATATACACAAAGAATGTGGAAAGACTGTTTGAAGGAAAGCTCTTTTAGATGCCTTTTTTTCCTCTTCACTACCTCTACTGGGTTACATTTATTTGCAGTAAAATTTAGAGATCTTAGGGCAAGCTTACCCTGTGGGAAAAAAAATTAAATAAATGAATAAATAAAAAAAAAATAATCAAAGGAGCTAGAATGCAAAGCCTTCTCTGAGGTAAAAGAAGACCTCTGCATTGATCTAGAGGGTAAGCACCAGCATCAGGTTGACACTTGTGATAACAGAAGGGCTGTGGCTCTGAGAAACAGGCAGAGGATTTGAGTAACTCTGGCTGTTATGTCAATGGCATCTTCAACCTCCAGCTGTAATATCTGTCTTACATCAGAGAGGACCACATACATTCTCAGGTGTGAAGAAGGGACAAGGCTACTGCAAGATTCAAGACTCCTGGAAAACCAAATCATAGTCATCATTACTATACTCCCTTTAAGGTGTGCAAAATGAAACATCTCTGACTTCCATAGTCCTTACAATTTTGATCAGAGAGGAAAGGTGTTTGAGCTTAGAACTGATGACAGAAACTGTAATCAGCTGTTAACCAATAGGATCTTTGATCAAATAAGAACTGCAGAGAATTCAGATTTGCCTCATATTAGGATCAGGCTGACAACAGCTGAATTTCATTCTTTTATACCATAACTTAGGTATATGGATTTCTATAAAAGCCCCCTTAAGAAGACTCGAGTAATAATTTGGAAGATCTGTTCTTTTTTCTTGCTCCATCTCATGGACATTAAAAGGAAGAAAGAAGAATATAACCACTCAAGCTAATTTAGAGAAGTACAGATCAGGGGTCTGTCCAAACAAACCTTATCATCTTTACATGAAACTGAATCTGTGAATAAAGGTGTTCATCCAACCATCTCATTATTTGCTTTTCAAAACCAGACAGAAATAGGAATGAATTAAGCAGATTCAGACATATCAGAGAAGAAACGGAAGAAAAAAAGAAAAGGCATGAAGACCTTTCTTGCAGAAAAAGTGGGGAGTTAGAGCTTCAAGACATCTTAAGATTTACAGGTATCAGGCTCACTATGTACTGCTTGGGCCTCTCTAAGAAATCATCAGATATAAATGGGAGAGGAAGGACTGACATTTTTTTTTTATATTGCCCTGCCTTGTGACTGTCTCCTTTTGCATGTGAAAAACATACTGGCCTCTTCAGAGACATCTAGTGATGGCTTTCTTCCAGAATGTATCCAGTCACTTTTTAGTTAAGGAGGTTAATCCTGCTCAGGCTGTTTATTTTCACCCTCAGCATGAAGAAGGGCTCTTGCTGTGAGATGCTAACAAGTGCACGTAGTTTGTTCTGCTCAAGGCTAAGGTTTCCCCACCCTCCTTCCTCTGTTTCACATTGGAATTCAACCAGAGATTGCTATAACCTATGCTGAAGGACAGAAACACTGGGATCACCTGATACTGGTAACAGTCTCACTTCCATATAACTTCAGCGAGACATCATTGAGGGAAAAAATCTGGGCACTCAAGTGCAGGCGGAATAGCTGAAGTTACCTGGAAAAATGTGCCAGCTTTCTCCTGTAAAGCTTTTCCTACTTCTAAAGAAATCTTATAGCCACTGAGGACAAGCAAAGAAAGACAACTTAAATGAATGACTCCTGCAGAGATACATGAGTCAATTAGCTTCCTGCTCTTTCAGGAAAGCTTCAATACCCATTCCCCAGCTTGGTAAGGATCTATTCCTCTGCCTAACTGGAAAAGCAAAACTGAGAGGTGGCATTGATTATGAAAACTATTACACCTGATGACTTTAAAATGAGCAAATCTTATTTGAACTCACTAGGAAACACCCTCTCTCAATATTAAAAATTCTCACTATCAAATGGACTTTTTCTCAACACCTGGTACTACAGCAGCTTTCAAAAGGTTCAGTCACATAAGAGAATACATACACTCTTTGAGCAAGGCAGACCAATTAGCGACTAAACATTTAGATCTACTTGTTTTAAATTAAAAAATGTAAAATACTTTAAGGAAGTTGTTCTTTAATGTAGGACTGTATATATTTGTCTCTTGACTAACAGAATTGCAGATGATGTTCTCTTCAGCACAAAGAACATAACACAGAAGCACAACCTATCTTTCTAATGTACATTAATTTTAGGATACTCAGAAACTAAGGCAAACTAATGTTTCTTCATCTCTTAGTATGATGGTATGAAAAACTTCAATTTGAGGAGGTGGGGAATAACAACAAAAAAGAAGAAATCCAAACCTCTCACTCTTGAAGCCTACACTTTAAAGATGTACAAACTAATTAATGACACTGGCTTTGGGTAAAAAAAAAAAAGGGGGAAAAAATCTGTACAGAGAAGTATTTCCATATTCTGCAATGACTACTGGTCTTACCCATGGTACAAATATTAACAGACTGACATGCTCAGTCACCCACCTTACACGAGGGATCTCTCGTCTGCATAAGACAGATCTACAAATACATTTATTTCCAAGTAAGTTGGATTTTTGACCCTAAACAGTATAAGGCTAATATGTATAAAGTGCTTCACAACTAATTTCACTCACTTTAAAAGAAAACTGCACTGCAGATTCTGGAGGGTAAACTATGAAGTGTCTTAAGGTGAAGCCAAAACCCTGAGATGTCCTCCTTAGCACGACAGTTTTGGGACCAGGCCAAGAGAAAGTTTCTTCCTCCTCCGATGGTGATATAGCTTCACTCTGTTCTTTTCCATCTTTATTTTTTGATGCCTAGAATAGAAAAAGACATGCACAGAAGTATTAATTTGGATCACAGAAAAAGAAGAAAACAAGAGTAAAAATTGCTAAACATTCTCGTACACTAGAAAACAGAATTTCTCCCCCCATAACCAAAATAACTTCATGAACACTACTATTTTCAAATGAAATGTGTATTGTAAAGCAGCATCCCTTACACCATTACACCTCTGGTCATATTGCACACAGAATGTCTTAAATTTTAAATGGAGCTGGATATGAAAAAAGTCAACATAAAACAATGAAAGTCTTGAGTGAACCACAACAAATGTGTACAGCTTTGCATGTTTTATTCGCTTTCTATTTAGAGACAAACATGTGACTTCTAAGACCCAAATTCTGGGTGCACATATCCCACTCACTTAAGTACAAAACAAACTCCTTTTTTCCTCACTTAAATGCAGGCACAATTTTCTCCACAAGTATCTCCTCACTTAAAACAAGTAAAACAGAACTGCAGAACACATACAATTGGTTAGGCTTTTTCAGCAACACACTCCCCCTCTACTCATATCTATTACTTCACCTTTGTTTTTTCCACCCTTAGTTAATTCTTCTGAACGTATGCCAGTTCTAAACAACAAAGTAAAAAAGTCTCATTTCCTTTTACAGTCCTACTACAATCCCTCCTGTCATGCAGAAATAAGCCACCTTGTTGTTTTTGTTTGTTTGTTTGTTTCTTATGGGCAATTTTATATACCTATGACTCAAGAAACATAGGATTTTTATTAAATATTTATCTTCTCAGCCTTATATGAAATCTTCCATTTTAACTTCCAAAGTGTCACACCACACATAACATTTCAAATCAGAAGCAGGAGACATACAAAGAAAGCATGCAGAATCCTATGACCATCCTCTAAAGATCCTAGTTTAACGATGCGTGAAACAAATTTAGATACCAGAGCCCATACCCTATTCAAAGGGTATTCAAACAGAAATAATAGTCTTCTTGTCCTCCAGTAGCTCTGCTGCTGTGGCTCAGCAACTGGCTGATAACGTGTCAGAATTTACTGCCTGGTTTTCTCCCTGGCCTGCTCCAAAATAATCTCTTTTGCTTCAGTCTTACAGTTGGTATCTCCAGCTGCAGTGCTTGTTGGCAAGGTGGGCTCAGCCAGCTCCCACCACCATCTACAGAGAAGACATGGCATTTCCACTCTAACCACAACGGTAAACGCTGCAGCTCCTTGGGGAGATAGTTAACCTGCCAGAACAACATTCTGCATTCAGGTATGTAAAGCACAACACACTTATCAAAGATTCTGGCTTGTCCTCATATACCCACATCTTAGTATGTCCACAAATGCTAGCCAGTGCTCCTAAGACTAGTCTCCCTACCTCCAACAACCCTGTTTTCAGCAAGGAAAAAAAAACCATACAAAGAGAGAAGGGTGTTGGTGCTACAGCCAAGCCAAGAAACTGAGCTGCCTCTGAAACAAAAAGTATGGAGAATACAGAGCAGCCAGACAGGGTCCTGCTCTTCCAAACAGCCTGGAAGGATTATCAGCAGATTTGGAAAAGAACAGTTATAAATATCAAGGACTCTGTCTCAGCCTAGATTGTCCTCATATATCATCTTCATTCATGTTCTGAAGCGCTGGTGTGAAACTGAAAAGACTGTGCAACTCGATGACTAACGAATGAAAAATTAGCGAGCACTGTGGAACTGCCAAGATGAGTGGCTTGAGTTTCAAGTTCAAATAGTGCAAAGACTAAGGTAAAACTTAAATAGTCCTTTAGCCTAAGGATGGGGTTTGTTACTGAGAGCTGTTCCCAACCACTCCGTTCAGCTTCTGAACATGACAGCAATTTTACAGTTCTGCACAAATGAATGTCCCTTCTCAGGCTTTCAGTCTCAGGACACGAGCAGAAACTGGAGCCAGTAAGAACATTTTGATCCTAGCAAATTGGCAAAAGAAATAGTTCCTAATAAAAAAAAATATCACTGACCTCTAAAAAATGACAGTGATTTCCTCTGTTAAGTGACGGGCAGCAACCCATCTTTTTAACATTCCCTTGCAATCTTTTGTTTCTCCTCTCAGATTTTTACAGGCAATATGTGATGCAAAGTTTTGAATGATCAAACAAGCACAGGTATCAAAAAATGTTAATAAGCAAATACCTATAGTTACAAATATGTAAACAGCAAGCTTAAATGTAGCTCTGAAAAATCTAAGTCTACAATATACTAGCATCTTTTTTCTAAAAAGCCCTCCTTAATTAGTCAAAAAGTAATTTTAGTATGTATAACAACTGATCACTGAAGTTTACATACAGAAGTACTGTAACCTCAGACCAAAACAGAGCCAGACAGAATTTCACTAGCTTTGAGAAATGCTACAGCATCTCACTGTAGCAAGAGAACCTCCAATTTCCTTGTAATTTCATGTAAACTTTTAGCATTCACACAAGTTGCTGAACTAAAAGCTATTCACTAACTCCCAGTCAAAAAATTTTTTTCTTGAAAGAGGATGCCAAAAGGGAAAGGTTAACTTCATGCCAGCCTTGAACCCCTTGAAAGGTCTGCCAACAGGGCAACAGAAAAAGTCAGTATCAGTAATAAATGCGAGATATGTTCAGTAATAGCAACTTTCAGCCACCACTATGAACAAGCAAGAATCTGATTTATAAAGAATGTCAACATCTGTTGAGTAACCCTGTGACATGTCCAACCACAGCACACCCACCAGACTATCCCTTGCCAGAAAAGTCTTTAAAAGGGAACAAGAAAAGTTTTCAAAAACACAAACAAAACAAGGATGCAAGACAGCAAGCAAGAAACAGATGATGTTTAGCATAGGCCAGAATACATTACTGAAGGCACAATGCCCACATGGTTTTCCTTGTGAGCCAAATATCAAATTACAGATACATAAATATCTCATATCCATAAGGTGATTTGTGTCTTTTAGGTAGAGTCATTTGCATTTTAAGAGATGAAAAATGAACTTTCTCTTCTTTTATATAAAATCTAACAAATCCAATATTATTGTGCCATATTCCTCTTTGAAGTGTGTTTATTTCTCTATAGATTCAGTGCTCAAAACTGAAGTCAGAATGTATGCAATTGAGTTCAAGGACTGAAGAATCCCAGGCTACTAAAAATGATTCAAGCATCATTTCCCTCAGGAATTTTTCATACAAGATTTCTGCACAAAGTATCTCAAAGCATCATTTCCTGTTCCATGCAAATACAAGGACATACAACAGATGCTTAAGTGCATTGTAAAATGTATACCTTGTTTTTTATACTGAATTTAGCCTTTCTTTCTGAGCAATGAAAGCACCAATGAAAAATCAGATGGCACCATAAAAAACTACATGAATCACTGGCAGCTTAACACAGATTAACAGAATTAAGTAAAAATCAGTAAGAAGTGTTGATGTTTGTAAATTATATTATTTCCAATTAAAAGTAAATCTCAAATCAATAGTTTCTCATTATATCAGCCTAAAAGAAAATTCAAAAAGCTCCAACATCCAACTTGCACACTTTCCCAAAGCCCCTCTAATTTTTAATCTTCTGATCAATTTACAGACCTATAGTGAGCATGCTAAAAATCCTTCAGTGACAGTCAAAGCTGCAATACAAGCTATAAATAAGGAATTGTTATCTTGACTGTCTAAACAGACAAATAGGTACAGTCCAACTCCTGAACAGTGTCTTCACGGGAGGACAATGAGGAACACAAGAAATAATTGATACACTGCACTATCAATTCTGGAAAAATCACTCAAGCCATTTTAAAAGCTGGTATGAGCAACCAATTTTTATCTTTATGTTCACTACGTAAGTTCAACGTTATTTCTAAAGAGACAAGAGACTGGCATCCAGATTTGCTCTACACTTTTTAAACTGTTTTGTTTTGGGATTTTTTAGCAAACAGAATGCTTCACAAATAAATTACATAAATAAGTCTCATTGTAAATGTAAGGGTTACCCACAATATATTTTCTGGAGCCTAAAGCTACGTTAAAAAAAAAAAAAAAAAAAAAAAAAAAAAAAAAAAAAAAAAAAAAAAAAAAAAAAAAAAAAAAAAAAAAAAACAACAACACAAAACAACACACCCAAAAAACCCCAAACAAACAAAAAAAAACCCCAACACCCAAACCAAACAAACAACACCCTCCCCTTCCCCACCCCAGATTATCCAGGGGACTCTTTTATCAATATCTCAGTAACAGCTTGGAGAAAGCCTGTGCTAAGCAGCACCTGCTTCAACTGCATTTAGCAATGTTCAAATTTAGCTAGTCTACCAAGAAATAGCAGTTCAGCTACACAGATATATGCTGAAGAGAAAATGCGCTGATATTACCTGATTTTACTGACTCGATAGCCATCATATGATTTTTAGGGTTTTTTTAGTAACAACTGACATAAGTCAGAGCAAAGAAGGATAGTTATTAATCCCTAAAATCATCCTGAGACACTGACAGGATTTTCCAAATGCCCTAATAAATGCTCAACTCACTTGAAAACAGTGATATTTCTTGTATTGAGTCATTTATTTTCCCCAGTTTTTATACCTAAGTAGTTATCACTTAGGTAACTGCCCTGTTAAATCTGCTATTGCAGAGAAAAAAGGCTTTCCTAGAACAGTCTGACCTTATTTTAATATGACAACGCATTAGGTTCTTTAAAAAGGTAACAGAGAAGAAACAAAAAGGTCTTTTCTAGCTAAGACTACAGAATGTGTAGGAAAAAAGCCTGCCTATAAGACAGCCAGATAAAAGGTTAAACAACTTTTCTTTGACATACATTATCTCCATCCTCATTTGCAGTACAGGAAGGTATATCCAACACACAAAGCCAGCCAGTGTTTTATCACAGCAGCACCTCAGAAGCAGAATCATTCACTAAAAGCGCAAAATTAGTCTATTACTTTCAGTTCCCAAGCTCATACATCAAAGTTAAGAGGGAAATGGGTCACATTTATAAAGCCAAACACTATAATCATGTACTGAAACAGTCT